TCTAAGTAATCAGATCGAAAGCGGTTAATCGAGTTTGACGGCGGGATGAAACAAAAACTATGCTGGGTCCCGTTGCCGGATAAGAGCGTATTGTTTGGAATGTCGGCCGATTCATGGTGGCCATCCGTGGACATTAATGTTTGCCTGCAAATAAATCATTAAAGAAGAGTCAGAAATGTTATGAAAATCGGTTTAATTACCGGAAAATCCAATTATATGCACTTGCAAAGCAACCGGTCTTACGGAAGGTTTAAAATTATATAACCCCATTTCCTTAATATCCAGCCAATTTCCGAGATCTTGAGCGTTGGCAAAAGCAGTAGATAAACCAACGTATATTGCATTCTATGTTGACGTAATGAAATTCGTACATGATACAATTACAAAATGTATTTCGTCTATAACAATTAGTACAACGTCCTGTACATATTCTCTTGCCTAGCAAGACCGGCTGATACCATCCCATTTTTTTGGTGTGGTAACTATCAGTTGAGAATCCAATCGCCAATTGTAATTGCGGATTGGTAAAAAAACCTGGAACAATTCGGAATGATAAATAAAATTGAATTCAATCAATAACCAAAAATTTTGACTTGTTTTACCATCTACCAAACAAAGTTTGGTCATAAATTGATTTTAATACGTAACACTGTACGCGTTATGGGCTGCAAAGTGTCATCAACATTGAACATGGGCAATTCTCCTTTAGCGATATCTATTTCACGAAGTGTGTATAAGCTAACACCTCTGTTTTCTAATTTTTTCTCGATATTAATATGCAAGAACTGATGCATAGGACTTTTGAAATCCCATTGTAGTCGTTCAAACAATTTGCACACTTGCAATATATGCCCTGCAAGTATCGAATCATTATTACGCAAGACAATCGCTGCAATGCGTGTTATATTTTGCACGATGTACGACATGTCAGAGCAAACGTTTTCGCATAGCCACGCGAGAGGCATGTCTGAATTAATATATTAATTATATATTATTATTCTGAAATTAAATGGAAATAAATAATTAAGTTATAAATGACAATCAGTAAAGATATATGCAAACTTACCATTGGAACGCAACGAGTATTGCGAGGAGGGTGGTGGCATCTTTACAAGAACACCTATGAAATTCTCTGCTAAAATAAAATTGTTTTTTTTTCGTATGCAAAAACCAAATAAAACTAAAATTTGAAATTTTGTGCTGTGGCTTAGTTCGAACATCGAGACTTATTCCAAGATTCCTATATTCCGTTTTGTACCATTACGTAATGCGTTTCCGTTTAGAAAACTTTCTGTCAAAACTTCTGCATTCATCTCCCCTTGTACGTCTCCTGAATAGTTTTGTACAATTTTTA